ATGATACTTAGGAAGAGTAACACATTTAGGAATATGACCTAACAAAGAAGGTGTTTCATACTTCATGCCACTATTCCTTCCCACAACCCTTACACTTAGTCTTTAAATTACCATCAGTGATTCCAACTTTAGTAAATGACTTCCAAACATTAAAAGTAGTGGATTTTGCTATTTTATGCTCAGATTCTTCAAAATTAGGTTGTCAAATTTATTCGATATGAGGAGATGTAGGTTGTTGAGAACTAGGTATTTCGGAGTCTAAATCAAATTCGACATTAATACAAGGCAGTAACACTACCACTATAGATCACACTAGGAGATGTCATTTGAGTTAGAAATGGAAGATATGGGAATTGATTCGGGATTTATTGGCTTCCTATTAAATCATCATTCATTTCATCATAAAATAAATCTGTGATGATATAAAAGAGAGCCATGAATCCCCGAACCAATTCGCCTATCTTCTATTCCTCACTCAAAGGACATCTCCTAGTGTGATCTATAGTGGTAGTGCTACTAGTATTAATGCCGAATTTGATTTAGACTAACAAATGCCTAGTTCTCAACAACCTACATCTCCTCCTAACGAAGAAATGGAACAACCTATTTCTAAAGAACTTATGCCTGAAAGAGCTAAATCTACTACATCTGATGTTTGGAAGTCATTTCCTAAAGTTTGAAATTTTGATAGTAAAGTAAAGGCTAAATGTAATGGTTGCGGGAAGGAATATGTTATTGGTGGCATTAAGTATGGAACATCTACTTTGTTATGTCATATTCCTAAATGTGTTGGTCTTAATAAGTACGATAATGTCGGGACAATGATGTTAGATGCACAAGAAAAGTTGATATCTAGGAAACTTGATCACAAACGTTTGCGGGAGAATAGTTTGTTGTGTGATGGTAAGTTCTTTCATATTCAGTGTTGTACACATATATTGAATTTAATTGTTCAGGAAGGGTTGAAAGCTGCAAGTTCTAGTATACAAAAGATAAGGGAAATTATCAAATATGTGAAATAGTCTGAAGCAAGAAAATGTTGTTTGTTAAGTGTGTGTCGCAAGTTAGAGGCATTGATTGTAATTTGGACTTGTGTTTAGATGTCCTCATTAGATGGAATTCAACTTATGTCATGCTACGCAGTGATTTGAAATGCCAACGTTGTTTTGGAAGTTTAGTATTACATGACAAAAATTTTGTTAATTGTCCTTTGTGTGAGGAATGGAAGAGAGGGGAATTGATTTGGAATTTCTTGGCTCTCTTTTATATCACCACTAATTTATTTTCATACGTCTGCAAATCTTATTATGGTAGAACTACTGGGATATCGTCCTTAGAAGTTTTTGTCATCTTTTCCTTGCCTTTAAAGCTGGCCATTCGGTTGCAGCAAAGGTGGCGATAAGGGAATTGGGAAAATCATAAAGACTTCCAAAGACGATATCCCAGTATTTCTCCTTCAGTTATATTTGGAGATGTATGAAAATAAATTTGTGATGATATAAAGGTGAGGCAAGAAATCCCAAATCAATTCCCCTCTCTTCCATTCCTTATTCAAAATGACATGTGACAAAGTTCTTGTAGTGTAATACTAAACTCCCAAATGCATGTTGGTATTTCAAAGCACTATCTAACATTACTTAAGTTGAATACCATCTAGTGGGGACATCTAATCGCAAGCCCAGATTACGACCAATGCCTCCTACTTGCTCCACAAATTTTGGAAACTATTTTTCTTGTTTCAGACTATGTCATATATTTGATACTTTTCCTAATCTTTTTATTTCTAGAACTTGCAGCTTTCAACCCTTCTTGAACAATTAAATTCAATATCTGTGCACAACACGGAATATGAAAGTACTCATCATCACACAATAAATAATTCTCCTGCAAACGTTTGTGATCAAGTTGCCTCGATCTCAACTTTCCTTGTGCATCTAACATCATTGTCTCAACAATATGACACTTAGGAAGAGCAACCGATTTAGGAATATGATGTAACAAAGAAGGTGTTTCATACTTAATGCCACCAACAAATATTCCTTTCCACAACCATTACACTTAGTCATTACATTACCATTCCTTATTCCAACTTTAGTAAATGACTTCCAAACATTAAAAGTAGTGAATTTAGTTCTTTTATGCTCAGGTTTTCAGAATTAGGTTGTTCATTTTCTATGATAGGAGGAGATGTAGGTTGTTAAGAACTACGCATTTCAGAGTCTAAATCAAATTCGGCATTAATACAAGGCAGTAACACTACCACTATAGATCACACTAGGAGATGTCATTTGAGTTAGAAATGAAAGAGATGGGAATTGATTCGGGATTTCTTGGCTTCCTTTTATATCATTGGTTATATTATTTTGGGAATGTGTTTAATGATGCTTCAGCCAGTTCAATTTGTGAAATATCTGAGAAAATTACCTCTTTACACCATAGGGAATTGCATAGAACCCAACGATAGGTGCACTTACCTAGACGTATTTGTGTAATTGAAAATTGAGTATCAGTTTGAGACAAATAAAAAAATAAAGAGAAATCACACTTTTATTCTTTCAATTGTTGTATGTTATGAAATTTTGTCTCAAATTGTCAATTTTTAAAATTTTAAAGGTTGCCAATTCAATTTTTCTGTAATACCAATTTAGTCAATCACTTGTTTAAGACTAAAGTTACAAAAGGACTAAATTGGCAAGCTTTAAAACAAATTGAAGGATTCAATTTCTTTAAATTGATAATTGGAGACTAAATTACATAACATGCAACTAAATGTTCAATTTCTTCCCCTAAAATCAATAAGTTTCTCTGGTATTTAATTATTCATATTTTAAATATAGCCCTTAATTATGTTATCTTAGGACAACTCGTTCTCAAATTGGTCCTTCTGTTTAGTAATCTTCTATTTCGAGTTGTATTCAAAGTTTGATTTAATGAAAGCTTCTTTTTCCTTTCAAAAAAAAAAAATATAGCCCTTAATTATGTCATGATATTTTTAGTCATTTGTCCTAAGATCTAAGGAAGAAAATAGGTCAAGCCCCAGGGATCTATAGCCTGATCTAATTAAGGGTTAGTTCGGTCTGTCTTGTTTAGTAAAAAGACTAGGCTTTGGCCCATTTCAAAGCCTACTAAATTAAACGGGCCAGGCCTATATGTACTAGGTTCGGCGTTCAAGCCTACAGGCCTGGTCTATTTATATATCAACATACATACATTAATAAATATATATATATATATATATATATATATATATATATATATATATATATTCAAATACAAACGCCCCTTAAAATACAAATTGTGTGCATGTAAGGATGTTAGTGTGTGAACGAGCTAATCCCAGATATTGTTGACAGTGTGCTTAGTGTGCATGTAAGTATGTTAATGTGTGCAGGGGCTTTGATGGATGGTTGTGATTTTTTCTCCTATGTGTTGTGTGCATATAACTATAATATGTGCATGAACTTTGATGGATGCTTGTGATTTTTCCTCCTACCTGCGGTGTGAATGTAAGTATATTAATGTGTGCACAAACTAATCCCAGAAATTGTTGGCAGTGCGCCCTGTGTGCATGTAAGTATGTTAATGTGTGACGAGCTTAAGTTTGTATTTGAAGGGATTTTGTATTTGAATGCAACCATATATATATATATATATATATATATATATATATATATATATATATATATATATATATATATATATATATATATATATATATATATATATATATATATATATATATATATATATATAAAATCAGGTGAGATCATGAGATCCCATCTCATCTATTGATAAAGTTTCAATGGATAGATAGGATTGAAAGTCAAATAACAATTAAATAAAGATAGATTTGAAAGACAATGATGAAAGAGTAATTGTATTTAGGGACCCTATTAATTGTAATAATTAATTATATTTTGTATATCTGTAATTTTAAATTATGGGAAATTTTACGGTGGTGTGTGCGTGGGTGTGGAATGGTGTGTGCGTTTTACTGGACCAGGAGTTGTTTATCATGACGTGCTGATTTTTTCAAAAATTATGCATTTTGATGTGCGCGTTTCTTGTTATGGGCGTGTCGTAACGTATCCAAAAGAAAACAACTATACGAATATAATTTTGGTTTCGGCGTTTGAATTTCAAGTAAAAATTAGTGCATAGTAGCTATAATATTATGCTTGTTGTTTTTTTTTTTTTAAATGTGAGAAATTTTACGGTGGTGTGTGCGTGGGTGTTGAATGGCGTGTGGATTTTTCTGGACCAGGAGCTGTTCACCATGGCGTGCTGGTTATTTCTCCAATATTATGCGTTTTGGTGTGTGTTACTTGTTACGGGCGTTTGCGCAACGTATCAAAAAGAAAACAATTTTATGAATATAATTTGGGTTTCGACGTTAGAATTTTAAGTAGATAATCAATGCATAGTAGTTTTAGTATTGTGCTTGTCGATTTTTTTATTTTTATTTGTGGGGAATTTGACGGTGGTGTGTGCGTGAGTGTAAAATGGCCTGTGCCTTTTTTTGGACCATGAGCTGTTCACCATGGCGTACTTGTTTTCTTACCAAATTCGTTTTGGTATGTGCGTGACTAATACTAAACATGCTATTATTTAGAAATACTTATTAAAATTTTTTTTTAAAAAAAATACTTAACATGTAGGCTTTAAAAAGACTCAAAGCAAGATTTACTTTGAAGTATTTTGGCCTACATATTAAACATGTTTTTTGTAACAAACCTAAGCCTAATTTTTTAAAGCTCAGCTTAGTCCGACCGATTTCCATCCCTAACAAACCTAAGCCTAATTTTTTAAAGCTCGGCTCAGTCAGACCTATTTCCATCCCTACTAAGATCTCTGCACACTTTCATCAACCATTCTCAAAACCAGTTTGATGTTACTAAAATTTCACACATGTTAACCCAAAGGTAAGCATAAGACATCAAGGAACGATTGACAAATGCTATTAAGTTATTGTGAGACATTAAGATAAAGGACTAAAAAAGTAACATCTAAGAACTCAAAACACAATATTATAACACATCTAAAAACTACATATACAAAGTTAATAACCAGGGATTAAAAAAATGCAAATTTTCCTAAGTGCTGATGATGATAAGAGATTTCTGAGTTCAGCATTTGTATGGTACCACTTGAGAGTAATTTTTGTTGTTTCAGCAAGGGGATTACAAGTTGGGGTTTTCCTCAGTATAATCTTGACATAATTGTTAGAAGACACAAGATTTTAGCATTCCAAAAGGTTTTTGACAAAGTATGTACCCACAAGAAACCATCCAAGAATGAGCAGCGAAAATGAAAACAGGGCGATGAAAAAGGGCCATCCCACCATTAAAATACCCAGGGATAGTACAAACACGAAAGGGAAAAATGACCTCAAGATGGAAAGGCCGTCGACCCAGTGCCCCTTGAGCAATATAAGAGCTGCAATGTTAATCATGTTCCAATCCATTGACCCACCGTAGCTCATCCTGTTCAAGCAGTTTGCAGCAAACGAGTGGCTGTTGCACGTGAATAGATTGAACGATCTATGCTCAAAGTGGCGGATACTGGAGTGGATGGCATCATCCCAACTAATCGCAGTTCCAAACTCGGCATGTTTATAGCGTTGTGTGCACGAATGCCCAGCGAGGTTTGGAGGAAAACAGCACTGCTCAAACATTCAATTTCGTTAGTCATGATTCTCAATGCAATTGGAAGAATGTGCTCCATCTCAACTAAAAGACTAAGCCGATAGCTGGATTGCACATTTATGTTTATATACTATATGCTCAACACGCCCCTTCAGGTGTGCGAGCCGGTTACTTTTTGACGGGCAGGTGACGCAGAGATTGATACCAAATTAAAGCATGTGCTCTATCTCAACTAAAAACATAAACTGATAGTTGGATTGCACATTTATGTTTATATATTTATATGCTGCATACTAGGAACCTCAATGAGCATTCACATATGAGGCAATGTACTTTAAACTAATGAATGATTTGCCCCGATGCTTGCCACACTTGACAAACCGGGCTTCGTGGTAAATTTTGCGGTGTGCAAAGAGACTAAAGACACTATATGAGTAGGGGCAGTACCAGAAGTAAAGTACCTGCTCTCTGTCTAGTTGAAGGTATTTAGCCACAGCACCATATGGAAAATCATTAACATTGACAAAGCTGGATCCCGAAAAGTTTATTACAGCGCCATCCTCCCTGCACAATCCAACATGACCAATGAAAGGAGCCAACCACGAGACCACCGGGAGGGGTGTCCAAACCAAACAACACGGGAACTTTGCGTTCTTTGGATCTATTTCATCAAGCGGCCACAGCTCATCCTTGATCCCTTGCTCGATACCTTTATTCTCCACACTATTGGCAGGTTTTAGATCCATCACAGAGAGTCTTCCCTAGAGGAGTAGAGGTATATGGCAGGCGGGCAGGCCTTAGAACTTGCATTCACTCAAAGTTCCCAATCTATTACCAGAATGGAAGAGTTTTCATTATAAGAAAAAAGGACCCCACTGAAACAATGAGTGAAAAATATCTCAAAGATGATACAAATACAAAATTTCAAAACCCAAACCGAATAGGCTGGGCTATAATGCACATGGTCAAATCACACTACAAAACTGAATTCAATCACTTAGCTAGTTTAACTTGTAGGCTTATAAACCCTTTTCTCTCTTATATTTTCAGTGTGAGACTCTTAACAAACTGAATGTTTTGTTAAGCATCACAAAGGGTACATTGTAACTGAGGTCAGAAGATCAATAGGAAAAAATGAAAAGATGTTTGGATTCAGCAATGCTGATAACTAGAGTAAATTTCAAAAATTGGTTGAAAACTCCAAACCAATCAGCTAAACTTCACAAAAATCACTTAAGTTAAAGCAGCAAGAACCAAAAAGCCCTCTTGATTTACATAAAAACAAAATTCAATAATGCTTTTCATAAACCTTACATCTAACATTCAAATCTGAAATTTAGTATTAAACTCAAAAACTTTTGCTTTCACCCTCTGAATTCAATCCTTCAAGAGCTAAAATTTTGGGAGCTTAGCAGAGAAAACCGAAGCTCAGCTTACCCAAAACTCAGTAAAAATTAGAATTTCTTTTTTGTTTTTCTTTCAAGTAAAATTTTCAGCAAAGAAGTCAGGGACCCAAAACATCAACTTGAACAATTCAGTAAATACAAACACAAAAGATTAAAATCCCAGATGCAAAAATCAATCTTGTAAAGATTCAAACGCATTACAGACCTGAATACCAAGAATCGAATAAAGAAAAAGAAAGCGGCAAGATGGTAAATTAACAAGACCTGGAGTGTGCCAGTGTGGAGAGAAATGGTGATCGGTTTGGTCTAAGGAGATGAAGCAAAAGAAGCTGGAACAGCTGAGAAAGAAACAGCTCCAAACAACGTTTTCGAGGATGTTAATGTCAATAGGGGAGGATCCTTCTGGAAGTATTTATTTGTGTGTGTTCTTACTGGGGCTATCATTTTCCTTCTACTTTAGGAAAAGAGAGGATAAAGGTGCATGAACCTAGCTAGCTCAGCCGGACTGGTCAACTGGCCCACCACTCTCTGTGGGAGCCCGTTCTAGGCAAATGTTACTATGGAGCATGGTCTATGTAGCAATATGTATTATTTGAATTACATTTCAATTTTATTGAATTGCTATGTTTTTTAGTTTTATTTTTTATACTTACTGTTTTATTATAGTAATACTAAAGTGATGGATTTAATTAACACGGGTAGTCCAAGTTATTAAACTCGATAAATAAAGGAAAATGATAAATATTTAATTAAAAAAATATGTGTAACAGGAAAACAAGTAATATAGGTCTCGGAGACAGAATATTGTATTAGTTCGTAGTGTGAAGCTATTACAAAAGATTTGTGTTTAGACAAAGTAGATGAAGATGTCCTAATCAACACAATTGGATAGCTATTTATACTCAGATGCCCTAAAAAGGAGGAGGAATTGGTTGCAACAACCTTGACCGCGCACGGAACCCTATCGGGGCCAAAACCGAGGCCCCCAGCCAAGACCCTAGCCGAGCACGGCACGAGGCCTAGGCCAAGTAATGGCCCAGGGCCAAGGCTAGGCTCGGCTTAGGTGGCCCGGGTTGAGCACACGAGGCTCTAGGTCCATCCTAACTCTTCTTACTCCACTCCTCTGGATCGGTTTGTTCTAGGTCAACTTCCAATATGCCCATCATTAGTCCCCCACTTTTCGAGCTACGAGAAGTCATTAGTGAGATAGAGTAGATCCAAGTCGCGTTCTTACCCAGTCTCTCAAAATTTTTCATCCCATTTAGCTTCCTTGTTATGCTTTCAATGCAACACCTCTACGAGTTGGGACCTCGCCTTGGCTTGCGCTCTCCGTGGCCGAGCCCCAACCCCACGCTTCAAAGTGGCCGAGCTCGAACTCGGTATGGCTTAACCCTGTGGGGGTCGAGTTCGAATCCCCACTCCCTGTGTGGCATAGCTCTCCGAGGCCACCCAAACCTCAATGAGTTACATTGTAGCTTGCCTATGTACTTGCCACTATTTGATATTGGATGAAGAACTTAGTTTTTCTCATCATTGCTTGAACTTGTGTCTATCCTTAGCTTTTGCTTCGCTATCTCAACGAACCTCCCGCATCCTTGGCGGAGCCCCTACTCGACGAGAAAGGGGGGGGGGGGGGGGGGGGGATGAGCCACAGCCGACCCCCCGATTGAGCCTCAGCTCGGCCCTTCTTGTTGAACCCCGACTCGGTTTGCCTCGTAGAATATTACTTCTCAGCCTAAGCCCGAGGCTTGTGCTCTATTTTGAGGTCGGACCTCCTACCATGGTCTAATTTTATTTTTTTTTTTCGTAGAAGGCTAGTTCTTTGGTCAAGGGTTTACCTTGGGCCAAAGATCTCTTCCATCGGGCGATAGGTGAGGGCGGACCTCGTACCGTCCTTAGAGTGATAGTCATCCGACTCCGAGCCATTAGACTCTTCCGTCATACAATAGGCGAGGGCGGACCCCGTAGTGGCCTTAGGGTAATAGTCTTCCAACTCGGGTCATTAGACTCTTCCGTCAGGCAATAGGTGAGGGCGTACCCTATATTGGTCTTAGGGCAATAGCCATCCGACCTGGGTCATTCGACCCCGAGCTATTAGACTCTTCCGTAAAGCAATAGGCGAGGGCAGACCTCGTATTGGTCTTAGGGCAATAGCTATTAGACTCTTCCATCAGGCAATATGCAGGGGCAGACCCTGTATTAGCCTTAGGGTATGGTTGGAGAGGTCGGATGCCCCCCCCCCCCCCCCCCCAAAGGGATCCCCCCTACCTAGTGAAAATGAGTACCATGGCAAATTTTTACTTCTTTATTAAGGTATTAGTAAAGGGGATGGACCACCTTACAAAAGTTATTAAAAGTACTTCAACAAATGTTCGGAGTTCCATCATACCATTGTTGAACTAATGCACTTTAACGCATAAGTGATGAATTGGCGCACCTTAAGTGTTAAAATGGTGCACCTTATAAGGCGGCGTTTGGTTCAGGTTATATAAGATAACCAAGGTTATATTTGCTTGGTAATATAAGATTCCCATGTTTGGTTCAAGTTATGTAACTTTCCCAGGGAATGTCATATAGCCTTCGCATTAAGTTTTTAGCTATTGGAAGGGAATGTGAGATACCCTCCAACTTATCTCACATTCCCTTGTCTTATTACTAATGTTGGGCTTGGACGTTTTAATCAATTTATCTTTTTAATGTTGTCTTATTTACATATCTTAGTTTTAAGCCAAACACAATAATCTAACATTCCCAATAATCTAACATTTCCAGCAATCTAACATTCCCTAAGGCAATCTAACATTCTGTGTACCAAACGCCCCCTAAGTGTTGAAGTGACACAACCTTCAGTGTTAAAAATGATGCACCATAAGTGTTAAAATGACACACCGTAAGTGTTAAAATGGTGCACCTTCAGTGTTAAAAATAACGCACCTTAAGCTTTACAATTACGCACATTAAGTTTTCAAGTATAGTACTGACGCACCTTAAGTGTTAAAATGACGCACCTTAAGTATTAAAATGACGCACCTTAAGCTTTCAACAATACGCAAAATTACCATAATGCGACCGTATTTTTTTTAAAATTTATCTTTATTCTGGATTGTTAAGTTTGACAAGATCAATGGCTATGATTAATCCGCATGTTTTACCTGGGAGATCTTTTGCACTTAATCCCTTGTCTATATATATATATATATATATATATATATATATATATATATATATATATATATATGTTCAAGGACACTTTAGTTGAATGGAAATTTGACTAAAAAATTATGAATTTAGTGTTGGGTGTATTTTGAGGATTGCGAATTTTTGGTATTTTTGTTTATTGATGGATGGGTTGGATCTACCTAAGAAAGATCACATGACACATTAAAACAATGAATGCAGCCAATGAGCAGTACATTGCAACCACCCAAAGTGCACTGCAAATTAAAGTATTCGTTGCATTCAAAACATTCAAGGAACATAGACACAAAGAAAAAGGTGTAAAAACATTACGCCATCTATTTGTTATGTCCGTGTGGGATTCTGTACATATACAGAGTCACGTGTTTTTTTTTTTTTTGGCGGTGCGCCTAAACATAATCACAAGTTTTTCTTCTTTTTTCCTGTTTTTTCTTGGTACATTGGAAGGAAGAGATGGTAACATATTTATCATTTCAGGATCGGAATGATTACAACAAAGAGAGTAATGTATTTGGGATTTTGGGATTAAGAATCTCACAAACACTCGTGATTAGATTATAGTGCAAACTCAATAACCTACGCAATATGTTTCAAAAAAAGGCCTTAAAGATTATTTTTTTAACAATGTAGATCGATCAAATGAAAAACATATGATTAAGAGATCCCAGCAGGGGGTCATTTTCGTGGGACTAGTCTAAAAAGCTAACCTTATACCTGCCTAGTTATTAGAGTAGCTTAGGCTGAACTTATCCCTGCAAGTGTACCCATTTGCAATATGATTTGACATGTCACATGAATTTTTTTTTTTTTTTATGTGTATTGCAAACTTGCAATTCTAGCAAGTTTGTAAAGTACAAAAAAGGCTGCCGAATGGCAACCTTATTGTACTTTTGTATTGCAAGGCAGCCCAAATTTGTCCTTTTCTTTATTTTTTTTATTTCTTTGTTATTATTTTATTATTTTATTATTATATATATAATATAAAATGAACGTAGATCCATTTTTTAGAGTTAAAAGAGATTTGTAGGGATGTAGTGTGAATAGTATACGATTTGCAAATGGGATGATGTAAAAGTGAGACCCAATTTTGAAAGTGGGAGAGATTTGCGAGGATAATGTTAGCGTTATCTTTAGGCACGTCATGTCGACTGGCCATACATTGAACATGTTGACCGGTCATTAGCCGCTACTAACTAGAATACATTGGAGACCAATTTTGACTTATTTGACCACTATTAACTATTTGACTTGATTAAAAAATCAATATAAGTGTTTGTTTAATTAGCTTTTTTTAACTCCAAAATATTAAAATTCAAAAAGCTACTCAAAGTAACTTTTTCAATTAACTTTTTGACAAGAAATTATACCAAACAGCTATCAGCTAATGGTCATTTACCAAATAGGGCCTGACGTCAAGCCCAGTTACCAAGAGTCATTATAAATAACGCTTCTCTAGCATGTTTAAGGTCAGAGCATCCTTATCAGTTGGGGATATTAGGGGGAGAATGTAAGAGTGAGTAGGAAAGATAATAATGTGGGAGGAGAGGGAAAAAAATCAAAACTGATTTAAAAAAAAAAAAAAAAAAAAAAAAAAAAAAAAAAAAAAACATGTCATTTCTCTATTAGTTCTTTCTCCTCCATCATTAATTCTTTTTCTTGAACAGAGTAATATCCCAACCTTTGCAGATGCTCCCCACCCTTTCTCTCTCTTGATTCTCTCTCTGTCACCATGGCATTTTGGCCTCAAAAGTAATAAATTCTCCTCTATTTTTCCTCTGATGTAGATGCTCTCATCTTCTACTTCCTACTACTCTTTGTAATTGCTCTTATACAACCTCAATGATCACATAGCTCTGGCTTCTTCTGACTAAATGAGCTCAACAATACTTTCTCATTGCATAATTTCTTATTTTTGTAGTGTTACTCTGTATCCCTACCCCCTGTCTAATTTACACTGTCACCATGTTCACACAAACTTGTTTACGACGTGCTAAGGGTAATATTAATTATTTGTTAAAAGATGTTAATTAAGCAATTTATTTGTTTTAACTTTTAACTAAGGTATATAGATAATAATATAATATATTTTATGTAGATTGAATTGTGGAGCGCATTTGTTATATATATATATATATATATATATATATATATTCTTTTAAAATTTTAATAATAAATTTTAACTGTATTAATGGGTTAGCAAATTCAAGTAGATTATTATTGTATTTATTTAAAAACTTATTAACTAAATGTGTTTATTGTGT